ATCAAAAGTAATACAGGTTTCTTAAGTTTATTTGATAGAAGTTAAGAAAAACCTGCAACCACATCAGCAAAAACTTATTAAAACTTATTTTATTTCTAATAAAAAAAAAAAAAAAAAATTGCTACAGCGTCATAGTTCATGCGTTGGGAGAAAACATTGAACAAAACACGTAAAAACTTATTAATGCATTATTAATGCATTATGTATGATAGAAAACAGGTTATTAATGCGGGTTTATAAATTTTTTTCTCCTAACACACTATTATGTTGCCGCAACTCCAAGGATATATATAGTTATATATAGTTAGAGAGAGAGAGAGAGAAAACTATTTATTAGTGAAAACATATGAAAACCAAAATTTTTTATATAATATATATAGTATATATTTGATAAATAAACCTCTACAATTTCTTTGGTTCAACAACTCGATAATGATTAATAACAACTCTGTAAACATGAATTTTCTAATAATTTAAATCTTAATAAATTGTAACAATTAACTACTTATTTAAACAAATAATTACTTATTAAATTTTAAAAAGATTTTATATATACGTAATGTTTACTTAGAAATACTTAATGTCTATTTATACATTAAAAAGATATACAATTTTAAAAACCTGAAACTTTAAATCTACCTCAAAAAAAAACAGATATATATTGAAAAGTATTTTTATTTCTTTTTAAAAATTTAAAAATGCTTTTTAACTTACTCCCTCCAATATTATTATATAATTTATAGTATTTATATTGATAAATAAACCTCCAATATTATTATATAATTATAGTATTTATATTGATAAATAAACCTCTACAATTTCCTTGGTTTAACAACTTTTTTAAACTTGGTTTAAAAAAATTTCTAATAAATACATATTTAGATACCTTAAAATGAAGCATAACACAACACTCTTTTGACAAATTCCAGAAGAAATTTTCTTAATTTTTTTATTCCTTATTATTTTTCCTTAGAGAATATATATATGTAGATATAGAGAAATATAAAATAGACTGAAATAAATCGAAAACCTTAATTTATGTATGAGAAAATAACTTGAACTTACTAAAAAAGCGATCAGCTCCTCTTAACTGCTCTAAAAAATAAAACAAATACTGTCTAAAATGTTTTAAAAAGACTAACGACTAATGTATAAATAATATTTATTTTAGATAAGAAACAAAGTCCATGAAAATAAAAACTTTACAAAATTGTTTATATGGATGTTACACTATACATATCTGTTTACTTTTTAAAATATTTAGATAATTAACTAAATCTAAATAACAGTATTAGGCTAAAACTTATTTTATACAAATTCAGTTAACAAAAACTTACCCTAGAATCATGTCATCGCCCAGTTCCATCAGCGTAAACATAATAAACATGCAAATCTGGTCCACAAACATAAAGGACATTCAATGAATAAAACTAGTGGCGATTGAGAAATGCATCTTCATCTTTTGATGTAGGGATGATTGGTATGTGACTTCCATCGATGCAACCACACGCACTTGGAATCTGTGCCATAGAATAAAACTTATTGGGAGGGTGTCAACAGGATGAGACTAATGAATAACTTCCTCTCGTTGACAAAACAAACTATTCAAAACTGCATGAACAGCTTGATTGCTGGAATGTTTTTTAACATCATGATCTCGCATGATAAAATGAAGCAGCTCCTGAAATTTAAAAAGTTTTTAACTACTTTAAATATAACAATTCCATTCATACAAAAACAAAGAATACTACATCAAAAAACCAGCTATACAAAAACAAAAAATAAAAAATGAAACTTTAAGAATCTTAGCAGTCTTTCCAGATATATTAAATTGAATTTTTATAAACACCTTTAAATTTACATAATCTATATTTTAACTGTTAAAGCAAAGTAATTATTAAATTGTAATAACATATACCCAAAAAATATTAAAAAAATTAATTTGATCTCTTAGGGATAAACTTTTATTTCTACAAGTCAGATGATGCAGATCATCTTTAAGCATTTCTTTAAGCTCATCCAGAACTGAAAGCGGCACTCTACACCTTTCACAAAAAATAGTATCAGATATATTGTCTTGCCTTCCTGAAACTATATATATATATATATATATATATATATATATATATATATATATATATATATATATATATATATATATATAAATATATAAACACACATGCATGTGTGTATATAAATACATGCTCATTTTTAGTTACTGGTTTTTCAAAAAGATTGATTATCTTTATCAAAAATATTAAATTGTCTATGTATTTTAAATAAAAATTGTTCTTTATAATTAAAAAATTGAAATCTAAGAGCAAAACACAATTGCTTTTTACCAGTTGAGGTTGTCTGTTAGTGACACTTTTTTGAAAATCCAAGAAATCTTCAACATCTGACTCTGACTCAGAATTGTTCCTTTTACAAGTTTGAAATTTGCTATAAACTATTTTTTTGTTTTTTGTTTGAAGTTTTTTATAAACTATTAAAGAAATTTTATGATAAAAATACAAGAATTTAGTTATTTATTAGCCTCTTATTTTTACTAAGAATTGAAATATGGCAAATAAAGAAACAAAAAAGAAACATAACTTGACTCAGATATCTTTTCAAAAGAAATCTGAGTCAAGTTGCTTTATTTTTGGTAAACTTGTCTGTACTGATCAATTTATGTTAAAAAATAAAATAAGCAAACAATCTTGTTGCTATAGTTTTTTGTTTTTTTTTGTAGCGATATTTTTAAATTTCTTTGGGCACGTTGTTAGTGTCCATCTTTGTATGGGCCTTCGTGTCCTTTAGAACATGTATTTATAATTTGTTCTAATAAATATCAATCAATCAATCAATAAAAGTTATATTTCTTGTTTGTTTCTTTATTTGCCATATTGGTCAGGGCAAAAGATTCTTTTGCACTGACCAGATTCCTGAAATAGAATCAACACATAAAGAATAGAAAAGAAACTAACTAAAGAATATTAATAGACACAAGAAACAACATGCACTCAGTAGTTTTTTTTAGAAGAAAGTAAATAGTTATAAAGTATGTTATTCTTTAAGCATATGCTTCAAGTATTTATTTGCTTAGAAGAAAATTAGTAGTTATAAAATATGTTATGCTTTAAGCATATGCTTCAAGCATAGTATTTGTTATTATTAATATTAGTATTAAATAATATTAATAGTATAATTTATTTATACTTATAGTAAATATTATTTTATTTATAACAATAGCATACATTTAATATTAAATACTAAAGTATGCATTGCTTGTTTATGCATACTTTAAAAAGCATTGCTTGCTTATGCATACTTAAAATCAATGCTTGCTTGTGCATACTTTTGTATTTAATATTAAATATATGCTATTAACATAAATAAATTAATATAATATTAATGCTATTTAATACTAATATTAATAACAACAAATACTATTTGTTAATACTTTAGAGAGATGCTCACTAAAGTATTTTCAAGTAATTTTTGTTATTAAATAGTATTATTTTTAAACAAACACTAAAAAACAAAAGACTTAGAACTCTAGGTACTTAAGAATCTCTAAAAAGAGTTTTAAATTTAAAAAAAATGTGTATACGTATTCTTAACAACTCGATTAGCAAAATGTTTAATATAGTTTGCAATTTAAAAAACCGTTTTGCTTTTTAAATGACTTTACATTTAATTATTACATACTTTGAATGCTTAAAGTAAATAAACCAAATACAAAATAATAATTATTTTCACTACTTTACTTATTTTCAATATCTTTGATATATTTTTACATTTTTAACTCAATAAAATTTAATAATAATTACAATTTAACACATCTCTCGAGTAGTGTAAAATTGTAGTGTATAAACACACTCTCAGGTAGTGTATAACTGTAAACAAAATATCGCTGTAAACTTTTCATAGGACTGTGTAATTTTACAATCTAAACAATGTAGCTACATTGTAAAAATTTACATTGTAAATTCACTTTATAGGCCCTTTGTCTATTTTCAAAAAAGTTCTCCTCGAAAGCACTTTCAAGAGATTGTATTGACCTCCTTAAGATGTTACAATCAGCAGATGTGTGAGGCATGTAAGCATAATTTCTTTGAGAATTCAACTCAACTAGGTCTGTAGATTTAGGAAAGCTAGCAGCTGAACCCTGGTGTCCCAGAGCATCATCGATAAAATGAAGATCTCCACCTAAAAACAACCTGACTATTTTGGCTTTTAGCTTAAAATCAAAACAATTTTTTTTTTATGTTTTTTTTTGGCGTGTTAACTTTAGACATTTACACAAACTCGTCATAACTAGGCATATTAATTAGTCAAAGAAAGCTCAAAAAACTAAATAAATTGCTTCTTATTTTAAAGTCATTAAAATGGAAATGACAATTTTCCCATCCAATCGGTTGTTTTAAATTTTCCTTTTTAGTTGAATACATTTATTACTAAGTCAATTTTATTTTATTAAAAGTTATTAAGATAAAACTGACCTAGTAATTAATGTAATACAAACAAATAAAATTATATTAATAAATAAATATATGCACTAGATAAAAGTGAATTTAACGATATACTTATCTGATATTAGTTTAATAATTCAAAGAGAAAAATTCCACGTAATTTTGTTTCCTATTTTACTTTCCTATATTATTTCTTATTATATTTCTAAAATTGACTCGCTGAAACAGCTATTTGGATAAAATTCGTTAACAAATAGTTTGGGACGTAACGCATAAAGGCTTCGTCATCGCAATAAAACATTAACACAAATGTTCACCTAAAATTAACTAGATAGTTAAAAGTTGTAAAACATGATTAAAAGACATATTTGATAACATAGCTGAATTTACTTGAAATAATTTTCAAATTTTATTTGCATAAAGGTTGAAATTTGAATAAATTACGTCATCTATCAAAAAAGTTACGTTTTGCATTTAAAAACGATAAGTTAAAAAATATAAATGGTTTAAAAACAGTTTTTTTTTTGTTGTAAAATTACCATAATGACGTAAGAACCTCATAGAATGGACATTCATGGCTAAGTGTTTCATATTTCAACTATCAAGCTCAGAGCTATGTTATCAAATCTTAGTTGGCCTGACTTAGGTTTTCCGCCAAATATGCGAAAACCAGAAAAGTGATTGTAAGTTATTGAACATTTTTTAGCAATATTTGTTTTTTTTCCATTTAATGTAAATATGTATTTAACAAGAAAATATGGATTTTTTATATATTTTTTTTTATCTAAAGATGAAAGCGTTTATAGAAAAAAGTTAAAATTTGTGAATTTAAGTACTCTTTATGCGGAAATTTTTTTCGAGTGGATAAACTTATGACGTCACGCTAGTTTATATATTGCGTGAAACAGCAATAAAAAACTGTAATAATAAGAGATTATATTTTCTATCTTTTCCCCATCTATATAAAAGCTAATATTTGATTCAAGTTTTGTAAAACTATATTTTTGTTTATTAGAAAAGCTTTAACTGTATTTATGTCATTATCATTAGATGTTTTTTTTCTTTCCCGCCATCTTGTTCCAGAAAACACTTGGTGCTTATATATCGAGGCAAATAAAATTTAATGGAGTCATCAACCTAAAAGAATGTCGCTCTAAAGCAAAGTTTTGAGTTTAACGAATGGGGACATGTTCTAGTGAATGAAGCTAAGATCTATCATTAAAAAAGACATATCTTTTTATTTAATTCATAGAATTAATTTTTTGTAGCATTTTAGCCAACCATTTAGCATTTTTTTTAACTTTATAGGCATAAATTGTTTGATAAAAACATCAATATCTTAAAACAGCCCATAAGTGTTTTGGCGTAAAATTTTTGTCTTTTGTTAAAAAAATTGTTCATTTGCTGAGCTTTTTATACTTTAGGCATTGTTTTTGTGATTGCATTTGGAACCTTTGATATTTTCTAGCGTTACATTTCTAGCTATAATACTTTTATGTTTTTGTTCAGGAAATAAACTTAGGATGTTTTTTCTTTTCTTCAATTAAAACTTTGTTATTGACAAAACTTTTGCGAAAAATAATGTAGAATACTAAATTTTCTTTTGAAACTATTTGTGTGTTCATAAATCAATTTGTGTGTTCATAAATTCAAAAAGCAATAAATAATAAAATTTTTTTAACTGTGCACTTATAATTTGGTGCAGCACTAGGCACCACTATGATGTAGTAATGTGCGAGACAAAGTGTTTCTTAGTTAGCTTTGAAAACGTAGTACGGCTGTTTCAAAGCTAACTATTATATTTATTACCATTTCAACTTTTAAAAAAGTTAGTTAAGTTTGTATTACTTTTACTTGCTCATTTAGTTTTGCTCATTTAGTTGTTAATAACTCGATTATTAAAATATCGTCCCGTTTATGGCGGGTTTGTACATTTTGTTGCGTTAGTTGTTTATGTCCACACAGATTGTTCAGAAGTTGAAAACAAAACAAATACCTTAAGTTAGAGCTAAATAATAAAGTTTAAAAAATTCAAAACTTATATGGTAAAAAATCCAGTGTTCGACGCTTTTTTTTGCATAGTTTTATATAAATAATAATTTTGCACTCGTTATTTCATAAAATATTGATATTAATATTTTATCGTAAAAAGGGATAGTTGATCTTCACATTACACTTTAATTGAATGGCATCTAAAAAAAAAGAGGGGTTAGAGCCCCCGAAATATCAAAATGTCAATTACTGGACGCCATCCTTTAGTCATCGTTTTTTTTTCCAGTATTCGACACTTATTAAATTTTTGAAAATTCAATTACTTCTTTAATCTAGACACTAGATAATCGGTCTCGAGTCTCGATTTCTCGCCTGGTATCGGTGCGACACCATATAGTATTGGTATCGAAATCACGCGATACTGGTATCGAAAGTATCGTTAATGTTGGTATCGTTTGGTATCGTTTAGTGTCAATGCGATACTTCACAGTATCGTCTTCGAGATCACGCGATACTGGTATTGAAAGTATCGTTTATGTTGTTATCGTTTGGTTTCAGTGCGATACCTTACGGTATCGATATTGATACTAGTATCAAAAATTATCGGTTATATTGGTATTGCTTGGTACCGATAGTATCAATTGGTATTGCAACTCGGGTCATCATGAGAACTTCCATGTTATTTTTATAAACGATTAGTAATTTGAAATAGTAAATTCGTTTAATTAATGAGATACATAATGGCTCATTTATTATAAAAAAAAAAAATTTTCTAAGCTGGTTGTATGATATTATGTTTATGATTTAATTTATCATCTGGTATCTGTGTTTTAATTTAAATAATTGTGTGGTACCATTTCTGTATTTTAATATCTCATCTATTATCCTTAGTACAATTTTTTCTACCATGATTAAAAGAAAAGAAATGATTTTTTTTAACATTTATTTCTATATTAAATTTTTACAAATTATTAAATGTTAAACAGTTTGTATGGAACGAACAAAAAAGTAAGGGAGAGTGGGTGATATTCGGGGTAACTACCCCCTTCCCCTACCTAAGAAATGTCAAACTTCAAAATATTATTGATAAAATTAAAAATATAAGAAAAAATACAAAAAGTTTGTATAAGAACAATAACCTGGATCAGCCCCTGCAATGTGTATTTTTCCATATCGTTATTCCAACTCTATAGAATTTTTATTCCATTCAAACGAAAATTTTCTGTGCGGAATTAATCTTCAAGGAAACAGTTTGACAATCATTAAAGAGTGTTTTTCATATAATTCTCCAAAGAAAATTGCTTCTGATGCAACGGTTAATGGTTATTCTAAACGAGTATTAGAAATGGTTGTTCAAAGTTTTGTCACATCATTAAGGAGAACTTTTCATATAATTCTCTAAAGGAAATTGCTTGTGATGCAATCGATAATGATTATTCTAAACGCTTATAAGAAATGATTGTTCAAAGGAATTGATTTTGTATCAGTCATTACAGGTATTTTAGTTTAATTAATTGTGTAATATCGCATTCATATTTTAATTTCTTTTCTGGTATCGTTACTTTATTAAATCTCTCGTAGTATCGTAATTCTCGCCTAGTCTTTGTTCTGTGTTCAACATTCAATAACTAAACTTTAGTTTTAAACAATTAAACATAAAGTATACTTTAGTTATTGAAGAAAACTAATCTTCACTCGTTATGTCTTTAACAACATCTTTAATCTGGGATTATTTCAAGAAAAATATAGGTAAGCACTACTTACTAAGTATTTTTTATACTTTATCTCAAAAGTAATTGCCAGCAATGTCAGAAAATAATTCTAAAATTACTTACCGGCAGAACTATTAATAAATATCACAACTTTAAACGCGTGAGTTTGCGTGGCTGAGCGGATAAAGTTATGGCATTTAAGAGCCGTTTTTTCTAAGAATCAGGCAAATTCCTGAAACTGTGGAAGTGACCTCGTCCAAGTTGCTTGAATTTTTTATATATTGATCAGAATATAGAAAAAACCTGTTAGGGAAAAAAAAAAAATTTCAAAAATGTTTCGTTCACTTGGAATCTGGGCTTAAACTTTTGAGATTTTTTTAAAAATTTTTAGAAATTTAGTTTTTGCCACCTTTGAACCCATTTTTTTGGCAAGGCAAAAAGTTGCACACAGCTTTTGTAGTTAATATCAGACGTAACCCAAAAGCTCTCTCCAAAAAATATAAAAAAGTTGCGTGACACTGTGCGGTTGGCTAATTATCATAGTTCAAAAGTACAAAATCAATCAGTTTTGCCAATTTTTAATCGGAGTTAATTCTAGCGGCGAAGTGTTGCACACAATTTTTCTTTTAGGATTTGAAATTATCAAAGGTATTGAGTCTAAAAATGCAAAGAAAGTTATGTGATACCTAAGGTCTATTAATATATTAAGGCTTGAAATTGGAAAAAAATATTTTAGTATACTTACAAAATGAACCATTACGGCAGAGGCGCTTAGTTTTGTAAAAATGTAAACATATCTAATTGTCAATACAAAAAGGTCCTAACATAATAATAAAAAAAATTCGTGTGATTTTGTCACACGCATGATATAACATGAATTAAAAACTGAACAAAAATCTAACATCAAGATAACTATATTGCTAATTAAATAAAACATAAATCAAACATTTAAATGTTTTTCCATTTAAAAATTAGTTTTTCATTTATTAATAGAGTCATTTACACACATTATCCACCACATCACACATAATTTCTACTCTGCTGCAGTAAATTTCTCTAAGAATAATGATATAACTGTATTATAGTCTTCTTCGGATAATGAATAATCGCCACAACCACTGATTAGAAAAGGAGCATTTACTAAACAGATAATTTTATCAGTTTGGTGATTTATCTCCTCGGTAGTAACTGGCCAGCAAAAAGTATTCTTCTCTTGCCCGTTAATCATACAATTAACTCTGATCCCAGTTATAGTTACCTAAAAGTATTAGCGCAACATTTAAAATAATATAATAAAGAGCTTATGATTTGTTTAATTTTGCTTACATTCAATAAAACTTGTAAAGTCTTATACAATGTCATTCTGAAATTATTTTTACATTTTATTTATATTCCTTTTATTTTAGAGCACTGTTTTGTAAAACAAAATAAAAACTTGAAACTAATATATACTTTGAATAATATTACCTCCACAATATATCCAATATTCCATTGTTTTTCATATGCAACAGTAACCCAATCATTCACTTTCCATACAAGACAAATTTCTTTTGCAAGATTGGCGATGTCTTCCTCATATTTATTATCATCTTCATTGTCTCCTGTCAGATTAAAGTCATCATTTTCGCCATAAACTTCTTTGTTATCGTTAACCTGACTATTTTCATTATTTTCTGTTGTCGGTTCTACCAGCTTACCTTTTCTTTTCAGGTTACTAAATCTATAACAATATCAATTGTACATATTTTTAAACATATGTAAACAAACACACAAAATTATAACTTTCACCTAAATTTTAATTTCATATTTGTAAAAGAACTATTTAACAGTCAGAAACATAATCTAATTTGCAAAAGTTTTGATAGCAACAATGCCTACCTTGAAAATAAAGATCTTATCTGTTGGCTAGTTACATATTGATCAGGCGGAAGTTCTCTCCTCAGCTGCATGTGAACCTGCTCAGGGCTCATTTTATTACCTGATTCTTCTCCACGAATAAAGTATTTATACAAAAGTTCTTTCTGCTGATTTGAAAATCTAAAAGAACTTCGAACTGGTAATGCCCAACCTTGCAATAGAAAAATGTTCATGCAATTTGGTTTGTCTTTTACGGAAGCACTGTTAGAGGATGAAGAAATTAGCATATTTAGTTGTGAAGTAATTTTCATTATATGAACAAACGAGTTGCGAACTTTTTCCAATGATGTTAATGATTTCGGAACTGTATGAAGACCGGATAGCATGTGTTCTTTCAACTCAGCATAGCTTTCAAATGATAAAGTACAATTCGTTTCAGTGCAAAATCTTAATGAATATAATTGCCTGTCAGTTCTTTTCTGTTTTTCCTTAAGTGACTTGTTACGCTTAATTGAATTATCTGTTTTGCTATATGGCAACAACAACTTAATCGAGGGTTGAATTTTAAGATTTCCATACTCTTGTTCAAATCCCTCACCGATTTTGAAATAACGCCACATCTTCATACTTTTCTCACCAAACTCAAATGAGTGATAGTTGCTAATGTTCTTAATCTTTGGTCCAGTAACTACAGTTTTATCATTGCTAATTTGAGCAACTGCTACTTTTGCATCTTTAGCGCCAAACCTATAATGCATAGCCTTGTGTATATCTTCAGCAGTCAAAAGATTATTACCAGAGTCAACGTAACTCCTTAAAATTGTCTTTACAACTGCGCTCTCCCTGTCACATTGATCTTTTTCACAACAGGGTTCATTATAATCATATCTCAGCAACTTTATATCTCTCTCTTTGCATACATTGTAGATTGCTTCAGCTGAAAGATTTCCCTTATAGCACCCGGCATTATCAGATTTGGTAAACATTTTCTTGATATGCGGCTGATCAATTTTGAATTGGTCTAAAACTGCAGTGGCTAACGAAACAACATCACCTATTCCCTGATCACACCTATACATTGAAGTAAAGTAAACACGTTTGAATAACTTTCCTGCTATTTTTATGAAGAATATATCCACATGTAAACTCATTCCTTTCTTGCCAAAATGCTCTCTTTAGCCCTCTCTGTATCGAACCGGAAGAACTTTTTGACAAAAATCTTTAAGCCAGAAAGCAGTTTCATCGTTTAATTGCTTAAAAGCGTCGATTTTTTCCTTTTTCTGTTGAGAATCTCTCATTAGGTGTTTTATGTAGTTGAATACATTCTTTACAGCAATTTCCAAATCATAAATAGAATCAGCATCGTCAGAATTTTGAATTGTTAGTTCTTTGATCATCTCGATAGCTTTGCACAAATCATAGCAATCGGCACATACCACTTCTGATATCTCTGTGTTGGATTGAAGATTTTTTTCAGATGGATCTGATAAGGCATGTTTTGAGCTATGAGAAGAAATGTTTGAGTCATTGACACTACAATTGGTTTGATAACTTGTTTTCAAATACCTTTTTCCTTTTTCAAGGGCAGCTTCGAGAGATTTAGAACTAAATCTTTGTGCCAATTTTTGTAATGTTTGAAAACCATTCATGCCTGAAGCAGTAACATCATCTAATCCAGCTAAGCTTTTTCGACTTAAAGGTTTTGTTGCATGCAATACTTTCCACAAACTTGAATCAGATAATGGTATATAGTTGTTTTCACTACAACTTTTTCGATAGAACATGATAGCGTGGCTATATTTTGTCGTCAGTATTGCATACACTATCTTTTGTTCTTCACCGCTGTCGTTTTTTAATTTGGTTATTCCATAAGCAACATCATGCAAAATACCGTTTGTAAATATAAAGTCTAAGAAATGTTCACACTTTGTTTGATCAAGACTAGATCGGACGAATACTTTCTTCTCTGGAAATGCTAACCCTTTATGAGATGCATGCCATTTTCTTGCTGTTTCTATACGATGTTTGGTACACTCAAATGTGTTCATTATAAACTTTTTGGTATACTTGGTATGGTCTAATAATGAGAGGATAACTAACTTTCCCATGGAATCACTTTGCTTATATACTTTCTGAGCACGAATAATTTCAATTGGGAGAGGGCTATTTATTTCATCAATATTTTTACTGTTAAGAAAATCTATAAGTATTTCCTCTTGTCCAGGAGCAACAGCTTCCGCAAATTTTTTCTTTAATAAGTTTTCTAGGCGAACATACTTGCGTTTTAACTTATCTTTAGTATTATCTCCTAGATATTCGAACTTCCTTTTTAATCTAAATTTTATTGAACTTTCATTAAGAACCTCAGTTACACTCTCACCGCTTCTTAGAGATTCGTCCAAAATCTCCTGTGAAACATTAATTTCACCGGGATCAAACTCTTCATCTGGAGTAGCAGGTGTCATATATGTTTGTTCTTGTTGTGTTTGTGTTTCTGTACATAAATTGGTGTTTTTGTTGACTCTAGATAAAGCAGTTTCTTGCTTTAAATGGGTAAAACACAGCATTGCACTAACTGAAAATACTTCATTGTATCGCTTTGACATTGATATGACGACTGTATTGGTGACGCCCTTAAAACGGGAGATTTTTTTCCTTTTATATTTAGATGGTGAGGATGAAAGCATGTTTTTGGAGGACTCCATGCAATACCAAACGTGTACCGGTGAAAAGCACATATTTGTTCATCCTTTTCAAGATTTCTTTTAAGTCTATTTGCAATAAGTCCATTTCTTCCCAAATATTATTATCGTTTAATCGCATGACCTAAAAACAATTTTTTAAACAATTATTAAGTGTGTCATTTAAAGCATTGCTTATAATCTGGCTCTTCACGAAAAGTGTTTACAAGTTTGAAATACATTGTTGTTATTATTAAAATACAATATTGCAAGAGTGTGATTAATTTAGTGATTATTTATTAAAAGAGTGAGGAATTAATTAAAAGAGCTATTTTTTTTTGTTTAAAGAACTTTGTCTCAAAATCTTATTGCAGAGAAGTTATAAAGTATGTAATTATAAAAATTATATTACAGTCTGCGTAAATTTAAAATACATAGGGGAGAACCTTAATGAATGGGACAATTATTGAATGGGACAAAATCAAATTTGCATAGAAGCATCTACGGTTGGCTATCCAAACTCCTGTGGTAATAAGTGTTTGACACAACCATTCAACAGACCAAATCTTTATTTCTATTATGGTCTAAACGTAATGGCATTGGATGTTATTGTGTTTTGAAGAACAATAAGTAATTTTTAAAAACAATTTTCTGTGTCTGATTTTACAGCGATTACTAAAGTTAAGGAAAATGAAACTCCAATTTTCAACACCCAAATGTCTCTACTTTTTAAATTTGTAAAGTATTTTTGTTTAGGTATTACTGTTTTTAACCTGTCCTGTCATTTGTGGATATAGTGGAAAGCTTATTGAATGGGACAAAGTATTGATTATTGAATGGGACTTGTCCAAACAGCCTGATATGAAAAAAGTAGAAAAATATATTTCGGCAACTTAGTTATGGTCACACATAATTTTATTTTTAAATACGTTTTAATTTGATGTTAAAATGTGGTTCTAAATAAGTGTGACCAATGCTTTACTAAAATTCAAAATTGTGTTCATAGAACTAAATCTCTATTAAAATCTTTTCTTTAGTATTCTTTAAAGTTGAGTCGATCAATAGTTTATTAAATGAAATTAATTTTAAATATTTAATTAGATATGTTGATGTATGATATTTATAATATGTATAAATGTTTAATTAGATATGTTGATGTATGATATTTGTAATATGTATAAATATGGATAAATGTTTAATTAGATATGTTGTTGATAACAGAGTATTGAAAAGATGGCAAATATTATATATATATATATATATATATATATATATATATATATATATATATATATATATATATATATATATATATATATATATATATATATATATAAATATATATATGTATATATATATATATATATATATATATATATATATATATATATATATATATATATTTATATATATAAATACATATATATATATGTATATATATATATATATATATATATATATATATATATATATATATATATATATATATATATATATATATATATATATATATATATATATATATATATATATATATATATATATATATATACTTATAATTATTTTTTTGTATTTATTTATTGTATTTATATACATTTATGTATATCTATTTACACACACACACATATGTATTTATATCATATACTGTATGTATGTATATGTATCATACATATACATACATATATATGTGTGTGTATATCTGTGTGTATTTTAATTATATATTTCATGTTTGTATTTAAATATTTGCATATGGCATATATTTGGTTTTTTGTGAAGTTTCAAATTTTATTTCAGATGGAACCAAACACAAAATTAATACGTAAAAACTCTTTAGATGTTGAAGATGCAGTAAAAAGTGTTCTTAAGGGTATGTCCATACGAGATGCAGCTGAAATGTATAGTTTATCAAAATCTGCAGTAGGTAGAGCTGTTAAAATGGCAAGATGTCAAAAGCTGCCAGACTATAAACACATTGTAAACATTGGAAATAGAAAAATATTTCATGTGTCTGAGGAAAGTGCTATTGCAGATTATTTGCAAACATCTTCAAATATGTGCTATGGTTTAACTAAATTACAAACTAGGCAATTAGCCTACAAGTACAGAATTGCATTAAATTCTAACAGTATTCCAGAGTCATGGCACCAAAATAAAATGGCAGGAAAGCAATGGTTGGAAAGTTTTTTGATACGACAACCAAAATTATCACTACGTAAGCCAGAAAAAGTTAGTCTTGCTCGTGCAACTGCTTTTAATGAACATACGGTGTCAATGTTTTTTGATAACTTGTTAGAAGTTCAATTAAAATATAAATTCAAACCAGAATGTATTTTTAACGCAAATGAGACAGGATTATTAACAGTAACAGATCCTCCAAAGATTATTTCAACTTGTGGAACTAAAGGGTTTCACAAGCTGTTTCAGCAGAAAGAGGTTCATTGGTGACAATGTTAGCTTTTGTGAATGCTATGGGTAATACAGTTCCATCTGTATTTATATTTCCGAGAGTAAATTACAAGGATTTTATGATATGTGGAGCCCCAACAGGAAGATTAGGACTGTGTAACAAAAGTGGTTGGATGACAAGTGAGAACTTTTTAGTTGCAATGAAGCACTTTGTTTCCCATGCCTAGCCATCTGTGGAGCATCCAGTGCTGTTATTAATGGACAACCACGAAAGCCACATTTCATTTGAAATAATAACATTTGCAAAAGAAAACTCTTTGATTTTATTAACATTTCCACCACACTGCAGTCATAGATTGCAGCCTTTGGATGTTTCGGTGTTTGGTCCTTTTAAATCTTATTTTAGATTGGCTCAGAATGAATGGTTGGCCTCCAATCCAGGGAGAATTATTAACATATATAATTTACCTCAGCTAGCATGCAAAGCATATAATATGTCTTTCACAATAAAAAATGTTTGCAGTGGGTTTTCTAAATGTGGGATCTATCCACTCAATAGACAAATATTTGGGGAAAGTGATTTCATATCATCTAGTGTTAGTGACAGACCTCTTCTTGTCGAGCAACCAGAAATTAAACAACCAGATAATCAACAATCATATGAAATAAATAAACTAGTTGATTCTTCAGAATCATCAGTCAAAATAGTTAGTCCAGAATCCATTTATCCGTACCCTAAAGCACCCCCAAGAAAAGATTCTGAAAAAAGAAGAAAGCAGGGTAAAAGTACTATATTAACTAAAACTCCAGAAAAGACAGTAAATAAGAAAAACATTTTTGAAACTGGTAAAATTACCACACAAAATCTAAAAAGAAAAATTGACCTCAAAAGAGGGAAAGAAACAGAAATCTTTGATGCAGATTTTTTAATTGTGTCATCTGTAAAAAATGCACCCGTAAACCAACAACAACAAAATACTTGCAAAATATGCAAATGTAACTGGAAGAATTTCGTTGGGCCTGCTTGGATTCAGTGTTTTACTTGTCAATGGTGGATATGTGGTAATTGTAATAATAACAGCAAGAAGCGTTATTATAAATGTGAACTATGTGAAGTTGACTGTTGATATCTTCTACACTTTCTTTGATGGTTTTTATTTCATGTACTTTGCAACAAGCAATAATTGTTGATTTTTATATTTTGGTTAGACATAAATACAATGAATTTTTTAAATATCTAATAAGATGCTTTGCTATTTCGTTTTTTAAAAGTAAACTAGATACTTTATATGGTATTAAGTTGTTTATTTATAATTTAGCATAGGGATGCTGCAGGCAATGACTCATTTCCCTATTGGAAATGTGTCATTACTGGGAATTATATCCAAGCATTTAAAAAACGCTTTTTGTTTTACTAAAAACAATTATTCGTGTTTTTAATTTAATTTTAATATACATATATTTTTTAATAAAACTATTTTAGGTTTGTCAATATATGCAGACATTCGGCCATATTTATAGCTTTTTCGGGTTCCCTAATGGTAGAAACTACCCTTACTGCTTGACTGGCTTGAAAGTTACTTAGGATCTCTCTTCTTTTATTAATTTTTTAGATTTGTCCCATTCAATAATTTTATTTGTCCCATTCAATGAGTAGTTCTTTATGAATGGGACAAATGCCATGGTCTTATTAAACTCTCTTTTTACCAATACCCATATGCGGAATCAATTTTTTTGTTTTTGTTTATCATAGTACGAGAGTTAACAGTTATCAAACTATTTTCAAAGTGATTTTTAAACAAATTTATCAACCTCAAAAAATGCATTTTACGAAAACTGTCCCATTCATTAAGGTTCTCCCCTAATTACCTTTAAGTTGATGCTGTGTTTCTTATCATCAACATCTCCCAGCTGATGAATGTAGAACATTTTGTTTATAATTTTAAGTTTTTTGAATGATCCACAATTTCTTTTTGAAAAGCAACAACAGTTTTCATAAAAATAATTGTTTTGTTCCATACTCAACTAAAAACAAGTTCTATTTATGCAGTACCTATTTCTCAGTAGCAATGATAAAATATCTACTCTATTTATGCAAATTTTAAAGATCGTTAAAATAAAGTTAAGACATTTTTATGGTAAAGTAAACAACCACCCACTAACTTGTTTCTCCACAATTGTGATATCAGCGATTCTTCTTCCATTCGATCACCACAAGTTATTTGGTTATGACGTAAATTTAAATAATTCACTTCTGATCATGTATTGTTTTTTATTATTATTTATTTCAACTGTTATGATTTCTATATCATAGTCAGAAACGCTTAAATTTTTTCTTAACATTACGTGCAATGTTTTGTGTAATGCTAATTGCTAATTTTGGATGATAAAAATTTTATTGTGAGCGAAAACCTCATTTGTGTATCCAAAAAAATATCTCTTCGTACTTAATCATTTTTAACAATTTGTACCTTTATTTTTAACTTAATATCTAAAGATCACATGAGTTTTTTTTTAAACTATGTTAGGGTCATCTTATATTGACCATTTAACATGATTATATTTTTACAAAACTTAGCGCCTCTGCCGTAATAGCTCATTTTGTAAGTATACTATAACATTTTTTTCCAATTTCAAGCCTTAATATATTAATAGACCTTAAGTATCACATAACTTTCTTTGCATTTTTAGACTCAATACCTTTGATAATTTCAAATCCTAAAAGAAATATTGTGTGCAACACTTCGCCGCTAGAATTAACTTCGATTAAAAATTGACAAAACTGATTGATTTTGTACTTTTGAACTATGATAATTAGCCAACCGCACAGTGTCACGCAATTTTTTTATATTCTTTGGAGAGAGCTTTTGGGTTACGTCTGATATTAACTACAAAAGCTATGTGCAACATATTGCCTTGCCAAAAAAATGGGTTCAAAGGTGGCAAAAACTAAATTTCTAAAAATTTTTAAAAAAATCTCAAAAATTTAAGCCCAGATTCCGAGTGAACGAAACATTTTTGAATTTTTTTTTTTTCCTCAACAGGTTTTTTCTATATTCTGATCAATATATAAAAAATTCAAGCAATTTGGACGAGGTCACTTCCATTGACTGCCTGATTCTTACAAAAAATGACTCTTAAACACGGAGTTCTAGGTTCAAGTCTTTCATGGGAATTAAACTTTTTTAAATTTTTTTTGTAGCTAAAAACGCATTTTTTTTACGCTTTTATGTTACAACTATTATTGCTTATTAACTATTAGGATTTAAAAAAAAATTAATTTAATTGGTGGAGCAATAATTCATAAATCGCGAAGCGCACTGTGCTAAATAGATTGCTAGGTTGTATGTCGGCCGATTGTGAGTTATTTTTTGTTTCAAGTAAAGATACCTACTAACTAATTGTAAAAAAAAATTAAATTCACGCCTATCAAAGGGTCTATTTTTGGTAATAATATTTTTGAAATTATTTAACTCTTTTAATATTTTTTAGAGGTAAAATTTACAGTAAATGCCCCCAAAACTTAATTTTGCTTCAGGCCCCAAGTGAGATTGAAGCGTCCCGGCTCTGTTGTTTTAAAAAAATGAAATAAAGTTATAATAAAAAAATAAAACCATTTTATTTGTTTATAACTGTATTTTACATTTTCAGGAGAGTCTGCTCTGAGTAAAACTTGTAGAAATAAGCTTGCAACAAAGCAAGCAAATACTACTGGCTTGCAAAAGCATATTCAAACACAACATAGGAAGTTATTTATTGAACTTCAAATAAAAGAACGCGAGCTGAAATCACAAGGAGACGAAGAAATAAACGTAATCGAGGCAGGTACTTCTAGATCTGCAAAGACGTAGCCTTTAAAACTCTCACTCTCCCGAAGAAGGCGGTTACAAAAAAGTGGTAACTTAAAGATCGGCGTCAATTAGTAGTTGATCATGACATCATTATTTTGATTGCTACTGAGTGCTTGCCGTTCAGTTTTGCTGATTCTGAAAATTTTAAGAGGTTTATGAACAAAATATTACCAAATGCCACAATAAAACATTCAACAACTTTCTCAAAAAATAAATTCCCTCGGCTTTACCATACACTGAAAGTAGTAATGCATGAAGTTATGAAAAATAAGCTCATAGATCTTTTTTTTTTTTTTTTTTTAGTTAAATTTTTAGGTGCCCCAAGAAGTCCTTGCGGTCTTATCACAGAGCACTGCGGAAGAGCATTTGATAGGAAGTTCACGCCTCCTTCATAACCGATGTCGCAAAACTTGCCCAGAGGTGGGGTTGGAACCAGGGATCTTACGTTTCTGAGGCAAGTGTGCTATCACTGCGCTACGGCTGCTCAAATTATTTCACTTCACGTAACAAAGTCTTCTTCTTTAGTCTTATTCAGGTTGCAAAAACTTATTCAGGTTGCCATAACCACCAAACACTGGAAATTAAGGGCAAATGATTCATACATGTCCCTGACATTACATTATATCTCTCCAGACTTTGCCCTAAAGAAATTTACATTAGAAGAATGTCTATTCAAAGAGCGACACACTGGTATCAACATTAAAAAGCACTTGATAACACACTCTCATGCCCTGAATCATTAAAATAATAAGCTGTGTGTTATTGATCAGGCATTAAACATAGCATGTGTTCTAAACAAAAGTGTGTCTTTTATGACTAAAGAAGAAGTCTCTGTTACGTGCAGTGATCACAGACATGTTTGTCTGACCAGAAACAACTAGTCTTAGTATATTGTTCATCTTTTAAAAGCATTAGCTAAATATTCATCTAAAAGCTCATTATTTAAATAGCCAGACTCGGTTTTCCTGATAGCAACAAGCATTTCTCTAAATGCCTTGAAAACATTTATCAGAATTCTTAGGTTTGCATAGATAATTAAAGGTGGAGGGAAAGACCCATCAGCACCAATGTTTGCTGAAAAGAAAGAACGGAATAGATCTAATGTACATTAAACGTTAGAATAAGCATTTAATTGAATGCAATTTAATGTTCAGTATTTTAATAAAATAGTTAGGCATAGCAAAGATATTAATAGACATAGGCCATAACATCACGCTTGATTGTAAGCATAATAAAGAAATATTAAGAAGGGGTTTTATAGGTAGGCTAAAACTACCATGTACTGTAACACGTTCCTTTGCATTTAATGATGTTACATAGTGGACATTTTTAGAGACTTTCTCTGCCTAAACCCTCTTAGTTCTTGTTGAAAATTGAAAACCCGATTCATCTATATTAAAACTCCTGCTTGTCTCATTTGTTATGTCAAGAACATTTTTTTTTCTGCCAAGTATGTTCTTATGTTTGCAAACCATTGCTGCACAATTTGTTTGCTAACATTCATTCTTGATGCGCTCAAAGGTTCGCTGGTGCGCGTGACTATATTTGGGTGTATCTTCACGGGATAAAACGGTATCTTTTGTGACAGGCGGTGCACGCTTTTGTGCACTTAATATATAATTTATCAGCACTTATTACTCTGCACCAGTCAAGAATGTGTTTGGACCCATCTTTTTGACAATTGGGGCTTCGCGACTAATATTATCATGCAGAGTAATCCAAGGAGTGCTAAAATTTGGTAGCTTTTGAAATCTCCTTTTTACTAAACTGAAAGTTATACAGAAAGCATACAAAAAGTATAGCACGGCTTTGACAGTCGTAAAAACTGATTATAGAATTAATTAACTAATAGGACATTAAATATGTTCAACTTACCTTTTAACGTCTTCAATTGCATTGTCAATATCATCCTCAGTATATTGGGATCTTGATGCCATTCTGGAGCAGCTGCTTATTTCAGAAGACATCTTAACTTTATTTTACTTTTAATTTAATTAATTTTAATGTCAAAACACAGAGTAGGAAAAAAGCCGAGACTGATTAAAATAAAGATAAGATTAATAATAGAAATTTTATTATTAGTGTTTTAAAATACAACACTGTTAATCCCTTGGTGATTAAATCCGAACCAAGGAGTTCTCAAATAAATAAATGCTTTTATTGTTATTAAATGTGTTTATATTCTTCTAAATCATTCAATGAACGAATTAACGATTGCAACCTGTAATCGTAACTGGTTGTGAAAATAAAACCTTACAAAGCACCGATAAATCCAAATTTTACGAGCATTAAAAAGTCAAAAGGAAATTAATTTTTGAACAATTATAACAACCCAGAAAGTTATTTTTTTAATAGTAAATCTTTAAAAATTCTAGCAAATAAAAAAATAAAAAATTTCTGTCGAGGACTAGAATGTGGTCTTGTAGAAGACTGGAATAAAATTCAATAACTTATATTAGTGTTAGTTTCAAACATAAATCTCTGGCCAAAATTATATAAAAAATGTGGCTCAGAGCCCTTATTATACAATAAAGTAATAACAATAATATTAATTTTTTTTTTTCTTTTTATATCGAGTACTCGAAAACATAATAAATTGCTTCAAATCTTTGACACCCCTTCTATCCCCCACTTCCGTTTCAATTTTTTGATTTTATATGATTGTGCATTTATCTCATCTATTTCAGTGCCAGCATGAAAAAAATTTCAAATACATTACACTTGTCATGCGTTTTTTGTGGTTATCTGGAAACACTAATGAAAGTTATTCATAAGAGTTAAATGTATTTACGGAATTTTATTTGATCCAAATCATCGTATGCGTTTATACTTATGTTTACGATAGCCAAACCTCCTTTATATATAAAGGAAAGAAAGTTGATCATTTCAGGCTTTATTTTGGAACTTTGTTTTAGTTAGCGTTTGCTCAGCCAATTTTTTAGTGACAAAACGTCGAAGACTGGAAGGGTTGTCTACTACTGGGTGGTTTACCCTATATTATTATATTTTTATTAGTTACAATTTTTTAAATTAATATTTTTAATCGTGAAATATATTTCATATTCGTGGTTATTACAAATGCATTTTTTAGCTTATAACTTGAAGTATCCGTGGCATTTAAATTTTTTCAAAAAAGGTTAAAAGTGCCATTGCTACACCATCTTTTTTAAGTGTACAACTAAAACTTTTCTTATTATTTATTGCTGATTGAATTTTGATTTATGAACACACAACTTAAAAGTGATTTAAATCAAAAGGTATAGGAACCATTGTTTAAAGTATTTAAGTTTTCTGCGCATGTCTCCTTCAATTAATGTTCGTAGTAATTTATGATCACACTAGCAGGCTATGATAAGTTTACCTTTTTTTTATCTGAACAATTTCCGTTATACGGGAGGAATTCTATTAAAAAATGAAAAGGATGAAATTTAAAAACATAATATGCAGAAAAGAAAAATTAGTCGTAGAAATAAACAATCCATGGTTCGTAAGCCAACAAAGATGTCAGAAAAGAAAGTATATATAATATATAAACAAAAATTATTATGTCAAAAAAGCCGATAACCCTGCAAATTTGCCAAAAGGTCTTCTTAATAAAAATTTATGGAGTATTTTAAAAGGTCTTTAAAAAGACTTGAAACATTACGTGTCATTAAATTTAGTTTTGTTTTTCAGTTTATTTTTTGATAAAAATAAACTTTAACTATTATTCTTTTTGTTTTACTTCTAATTTTTTAATCAATAATTGAAAATAAAATAAATTGACTCGTAATAGTAATTTATGTAAAAGTTTATTTTAACAATTATTTATAATTAGTATTATTAATTAGAGAAACAAAGAAAGAAAAATTACTTTTGAAATTAAACATTTTTACATTTAAGATTCATTTTTTATAAATTATTTCTCTCACATTTTTTTTCATTTTTATTTTTAGCCAGCCGTTTGTTTATTTATTCATACATCATTTAAACATTTATACATTACTTGATTACTTTAGTTTTGTTAGGAATTCAATAATACACGATTATATTACTAATAAGGGAAGTGTGATGTCCACCAATTGTCGATGGTTCTGTAAGAAGTTAGTTTTTGTTAAAATCTTTTTAAATTTCCTTTTGTTTTTTTATTACTATGTTAGTCTCTATGGTTCAATATTAATAAGCTAAAATGTTTCACATTATATCTTCTTTTTACTAATGTAAATAAGGTAAATATAAATACTTTTAGATTTTTTTTATAAAAATTAAAGTTAGGTATTTTCTCTAAATATTTTTAAGCAATTACTTTGATTTTTTTTTTTATTATTCTATTTGCAAGCTAGCTTCTATTCAATTAGCAACAATAAACACGCGTTGTTGAAGGCAACTATTAGATGTCTTATATAAGATATAAATAAAGTTTTTAAACATCCTTAAACCATTTAAATATGTTAAATGTATTTAAATAACAAAAATGACTAAAAGGCTAAAAGAGGTAAAGAGTGTACAACAAATAAAAAAAGTGTGCGGCAATACAACCAAAATACAGTAATACTACCAATGTTACTATCAGTGTTATATTAATAATAATACCTACTACTAATCCGTATATATACGCTCTACCTTACTTTAAATAACGTTAATAAAGCTAAAGTGATTTTGGTATTTTAAAATATAATAAAAATGTGGACTAAGTAAATAGTTTGAACACTTTTTCATAATATGATATTTTATAAAACATTATAGTAAAATAAATGCAGATGCCTTTAATTTTATGCATCATTTAAACATAAACAAGTTGTTTACATTTATTTTACGTTATGACTGTTTTAACATCCTGAAATAGAGGTAGGTGTCTAAATTGAATACTTAAATCACAGTTAAGAATTCAATATAAAACATTTAAAAAAAATTTTATTGACAAAAATTTATTACTGGTAAAATTATCACTTTAGTGACATAAGTTGTGTTTAATGCGTCTAAAATACGTATTGTAACGTGTTTATACGTTTTTCAGAAGTCTAAAGCCTGTGTTCCGCTTTTTGGAGACTTTCGTAATGATATAAATAAATCATAATGAATTTTACTTAAGTTTATTTTATTATGGTGTCACCTTTTTATAAACAAATAAATAAATGTTTTATATTTTTCAACTAAAATTTTTCAGATACTGGTTTTATTATTTAATTTGTTATTTTTACTTTCCAAAACTACTTTTAAAATTTATGATTAAGTATTTAATTGTCTGTATTTTTTTTTTTTTTTAAAGTTATTAATACTAAATAATAAAATATTACTGATAATATAATGTTATTATATACAACACTAAATAATAAAATAATACAAAAATAAAAAAATAAAAGTTATCAATACTAAAGTTTTTTAGCAAACAATAAAATACACAGATTACGCGGAACAATATGTTCTGGGTTCTAAAACAGTTTAAATGAATTTTATACGACGATTTTAATTTCACATTCTCCACTGGAAAAAAATCTTTTTGTTGCAGACAGAATTGATGTTGTAAAATTGCTTATCCTAAAACCAGTTTTAAAACCTTTTTTGTGATAATTTTAAAGCTAGTTTTAAATATAGCAAAACACTTAATTTTTAATTCAATATCTTAGTGTTATTTAGATTTACTTCTTATTTTTTACCTTATGTTCTCCTTTTGTAAATAATATTCGAACTTATAACAACTAATTGAATAATTTAAAGGAGATTAGGAAAAAATTTAAGTTGCTTACTATGGGTTGAAATTATTTAATACTCTTGCCCCCAAGATGGAGCGGTGCAACACCACTTTGTTTTAAACCAGTTTGAAAAATTTTTTATGTATTGTCACAAGTTAATATTATAATTTAATGTCATATTGTTTAATTCATAAAGTTGGAGACTTAATTTCACATTGCAGTGCATTAAAGATAGAAAATGAGGTGATGGTCAATAATGAGAAAAGGATTTTTCTTAGCTTCATTAAAGGGAGATATTTTGATTACACTAATTGTTACTTATATGTTAGGTACAGTTTATAGATTATTATAAAATGTAAATGATTATGATATCCACCCTACCGGTTATGATATCCACCCTACCGGTTATGATATCCACCCTACCGGTTGATTCGCAAATTGAAATCTGAGTACTGTTCTGATTTAAAAGCTGTTACAATTACTGATTATTCTGAAAAATTGAAAGCACTTATGAGACATACAGCTGACCCATTGAAAAAACTACGTTGGAACAACATTGTTTCAATGCCTTCCGTATAATTGGAAAGACGTTAGCATGATGTTAAAAATGAAACATCGGAAATATGTTGTTTGTCTAAGTTATTGCACTGATGCAATGATGACTTCGTAAGAATGTTACATTTGTGCTAAATGATGCAAAGCGTTAGAGCGAAGTAAAAAAAAAAAAAAGAAAGAAAAAAGACTTTATAAAGCCATTGGGCATTTGTTAAATTTTAAGCAAAATAACGTTGAGGCGTTGTCTTTCCTAGAGTTGCTTAGACGTTGGACTAATTGCAAAAATGAAACATAGGCCAACTTTAATTTTATAACTTGATAATCCGGAAAAAAACTCTTTGATTGTTTTAGATTCCTCTTTCAGATGTTTCATCAGAATTTCTAACTTTTCATACTATTTGGCAACCCTAAATTAAAGAAGAGACTAGTAGTGGCATTGATAATTTTAAAAAAGTATTTAAGGAGTTTTTTTGTTCTAATGATAAGTTCCGCATAACTCAGCAGTGTACACTTGATCAACACGGATCAAACTTTTTATGTTTCTCCACCGCAGTTTAAAAATGAATGACCCTCAATTCAAAAATAATGTTTCATGTTTTGAAAGATTTTACTATCTGACGAATTCCGTAAAAATATTAATAATGAATTGAATATTTATCACAAGAATGAATAAATAAAATAAGGCACAGGAACGAATGGAAGGGCAAAAATTTGCATGAAGTCAAAAAACAATTCAGCTGTTAAATCATGTGAGTTTTTATTTTTCTTTCTTGATAACAGTTTTCGGCTCTCTTAATTTAGACCATCAATTTAACCACAGCGACCTTTTTAACATTTGAATTCAGTAAAGGTGAATTGCGTTTTGTAGTTTAATTCCTCGCATTTATTCCAAACATCTATTTAGGATTGATTAAAGCGTAATTTGGATTTTTCTTAAAATATCTTATAAAAAAAACATATAAAAATTTTATTTTTGAATGTTTTTTGCAAAAAAAATTGTACAATACTGTTATATTCAATAGTGCATCCAAATATTATATTGATTTTAAGGAATAACGTTTAGTTTTCATATCATACAAGATCATATGATTAAATAATTTAACACAAACTAACAATAAAATAATAAATTATATTTGGGTGAGCATGTTGAATTCGAGTGAAGTTTTTATAACCTCATTTTGATAAATAAAATTCTGTAATGAAAAACATATCAAATACAAGCAGTTTATTATATTACAACATATTACAGTCTTACAGATACATATTACATATACTCACAGGAATTAGAAATAGAAATAGTACTGACTAAATACTACTAAATACTACTTTTGATTTTCATTAACGATCTCCCTGATCAAGTCAAAAACTCTATTAAACTTTGAGTTAAGCAAATGTAATCAGCAATGATAACTACATTTATACTGATACATTAATTAGATAATTTAATTAATATTATGGATTTCACATTTTAACATTCAGCGCATTTATCTGTCCGCTTTTTCTATGTTATCTTTCTAACTTGTATTATTCTGACTTTCAATCTAACTTTTTTCTTTCACCTGAACACACTTACTCTTATTTCTTGAACACACTTACTCTTGGTCAGCAAAGCCGGTGATGAGTTCAGCAATTGAGTGAGCTGAACTTGTCCTCACTGAGCGCGGTATGTGGCTTCTCTTTGGCAATTAGCTGGAGGAGAATAAACTACAATACCCAAACTTTACGTTTATAACGGAAAAATTGTAAATATAAAAAATCCTAATGATTCAATGAGCATTGCCAAAAGTATATTATTATTATAAAGTCACGGGTATCTAATTGACTCACTAAATTTAAATATGAAAAATGGAAGATTATGCGTATTGAAAAAAAAATATATATTTCACATTTTAAATATCTTAAATTGTTTGCAAGTATAATTATACATTATGATGCTTAATGTGACTTGAAAATTATGGATCAATAGGATCTAAAATGATACTAACACGTTTACTCTGTTGCTAGTAAACTAAACACAATCTTCAGTATCATAAAATGAAAACTTCAATATTAAATGTAAAAATAATAAAATAGTTCTACACAACGTTCATATGAAGATTGAATTTGCAGTTAAGTCATTATAAAAACTCAGGAGATCAAACTAAGGTAACCAAACCACCTACAAAAAAAAAAACATGCTTTGAAGCAAAGTTAGATATAATGAAATTAACAACAATATAAGAACATAGCATACTTTAAGATCTTATTCAAAAGTATCAAAAAGTCATTAAAGCCATTATAAAATAAATTGGATTTGAAATCATCATCAAAATACATCGAAATAACGCAACAGATACAATAACACAAACTCTTTGCAGAAATACATTTAGATATTTATTTTACCAAAATCGGAATGTGTTTTCATGGAATATCTTACTTTCTAATTTAAGGGAAGTTGACTTATTAATTAAATTTAATAAAAAACTAAAACAATTCAAATTTGAAAAATTTAACTTTCAAAACAAAACGTAAAAAAACAAAATAAAGTTTCGCAATTCAAATTTTTAGATTTAAAGCTTTACCTTCTATACTACCTCTATTCAGCAAATTAGTTATCTAATCAGAAACTGTTAGTTATCTCATCAAAAACTGTTAGTTATCTAATCAAAAATTTCTTATTAAATAATAACATTTTTTAAAATCTTAGACATTATCATTTTTTTATTTTCAGCCTAAGAGAAAGATTCACTGAAGTTCTTACAGATAAAATAGTAATAATATTTTTACCTCCTTTTTTTCACAACTATATATAGGCTCGTTAAAATTATTTTTAACGAGCCTATATTTATAATAATTTTAATCAACGTTATAATAAT